AGTCACTGACCGGGTCTTATAAACTAATAATATAGAAGCCTAAGAGTTAATAACATTGAGGCCTAAGAATTAGCAAAGAATTAGGAACTCAAACCCGGTCACTGACCGGGTCTTATAAACTAATAATGTTAAGACCTAAGAATTAGCAAAAAATTAGGAACTCGAACCCGGTCACCGACCGGGTCCTAAGAGCTAGTCAACGTTTCAACGTTGTTGACACTCTACTATTTGGCAAATTCTGTCACTAATTATTTTATAAGCAGGACGGTTCATATAAAAACTTGGTGACATGGAAATATCAAATAGTAGTGTGACGAAAAAGTTTTAAAAAGTAAAGAAAGAGAAGGGGTAAGAGAGGGGCGAAAGAAGAGTGGGAGAATGGATGGGAAAGTGGAAGTGAAAAATGGGATGAGGGAGTGGGACGGAAAAAAGGGTGGAAAAGAGGGATGGGGAAGGTGAGAGCGAAGAGAAGCAAGAATAAAGAGCAAAAAGCCAAAAAAAAGAGGCAAATTAAAAGAAGATTTAAACTCCAACAAAGTCACGTGACTTCGGATTTCGCGTTCCTGCGAAATTGAAGGAGGTTCAAACTCTGCCAAAACAGAGTTTGAAACTCCGATCAAACGACGAAGTCATGTGACATATGGAAATTCAAATTCTTACAAAATTGACAAAATTCAAGCTCCGCCTAATCGGAGTTTGAAATTTTGAAAAAAAATAAATAAAATAAATAAAAAATAAAAAACAAAAATAATAAAATAATAAAAAAATAAAAAATAAATAAATAATAAATAAATAAATAATAAAAAAAATAAATAAAAAATAAAAAAAAATAAATAATAAAATAAAATAAAATAAAAATAAATAAAATAAAATAAAATAAATAAAATAAAATAAAATAAAAAATAAAAAACTCAATTTTTAAAAAAATATTAAAAAACAAAAAATTAAAAAATTAAAAACTCGAACCCAGGCAATGACTGGGTCCTAAGAGTTAATATAATTTAAGCCTAAGAGCTAATATTATTAAAATCTAAGAATTAGCAAAAAATTAAAAATTTAAACCCAGACAATGACTGGGTTCTAAGAGTTAATATAATATAAGTCTAAAAGCTAATATCATTAAGACCTAAGAATTTAGAAACTTGAACCCAGTAATAAACAGGTTCTAAGAGTTAATATAAATTTAAAAGATAATATCGTTAAGGTTTAAGAATTAATAAAAATTAGAAACTCAAACCCAGGTAATGACTGGGTTTTAAGAGCTAATATTGTTGAGACCCAAGAATTAGCAAAAATTAGAAACACGAACCCAAGCAATAATTAGATTCTAAGAGCTAATATAATTTAAGCCTGAGAACTAATATCGTTAAAACTTAAGAATTAGCAAAAAATAAAAACTCAAATAATAAGTTCTAAGAGCTAATAATATTGAGGCCTAAGAATTAGCAAAAATTAAAACTCGAACTCAGGCAATAACTGGGTCCTAAGACTAATAATGCTAAAGCCTAAGAGTTAATAACATTAAGGTTTAAGAATTAGCAAAAAATTAGAAACTCGAACCCGAGACAATGATCAGGTTTAAGAGCTAATATAATTTAGATCTAAGAATTAGCAAAAAATTAGAAACTTGAACCCGAGCACTTACTGGTTTCTAAGAATTAAAACCATTGAGACCTAAGAATTAGCAAAAAATTAGAAACTTGAACCAGTCAAGAACCGGGTCTTAAGAGCTAATATTGTAATATTGAGGTCTAAAAGTTAATAATATTGAGATCTAAGAATTAGCAAAAAATTAGAACCTCAAACCCGGTCACCAACCGGGTCTTAAGAGCTAATAATATTGAGGCCTAAGAGTTAATAATGTTGAGACCTAAGAGTTAATAATGTTGAGGCCTAAAAATTAGCAAAAAATTAGAAACTCAAACCCGGTCACCAACCGGGTCTTAAGAGCAAAATATAATTTAGACTTAAGAGTTAGAAACTCATACTTAAATCAATATCTAAAACCTAAGAGCTAATAATATTGAGGCCTAAGAATTAGCAAAAAATTAGAAACTTGAACCCGGTCACCAATCGGGTCTTAAGAGCTAATAATATTGAGGCCTAAGAGTTAATAACATTAAGACCTAAGAATTAGCAAAATTAGAAACTTGAACCCGGTCACTGACCGGGTCTTAAGAGCTAATATAATTTTAAACTTAAAAGTTATAAAAAAATTAAAAATGCAAATTTAAATTAATATCCAAGATCTAAGAGTTAATAACATTGAGGCCTAAGAATTAGCAAAAAATTAGAAACTCAAACCCGATCATCGACCAGGTCTTATATACTAATAACATTAAGGCCTAAAAATTATTAATATTGAGGCCTTTGAATTAGCAAAAAATTAGGAACTCGAACCCGGTCACCTACCAGGTCTTATAAACTAATAATGTTAAGATCTAAGAATTAGCAAAAAATTAGAAACTCGAACCTGGTAACTGACTGGGTCTTATAAACACTAATAATATAGAAGCCTAAGAGTTAATAATATTGAGACCTAAGAATTAGCAAAAAATTAGGAACTCGAACCCGGTTACCAACCGGGTCTTATAAACTAATAACATTGAGGCCTAAGAGTTAATAATGTTAAGACCTAAGAATTAGCAAAAAATTAGGAACTCAAACCCGGTCACCGACCGGGTCTTAAGAGCTAGTCTAAACTATGATGCAAACTTAATGCAGTTAAATGATTTAAATCCTTAATTACCATCTACTTAGGCGACTTGAAATAAAAACCTCGTTTAACGTTATTCCCCTTCCACTTATGGGTCTCCCCCCAAAAATTAAACAATTAGTAAAAAAAAAATTTAAAAAATTAAAAAGTATATGTCATTCAAGTTGACAGATCGAAAAAATATGATGCTAACACTTATATGGATAATCCAGATAATCCAGATTCCGCCAAAAAAAACCCCAGTATATGTAGGAGAAAGAAAGTAAAAGTTCAACGAGTTACCAATTCAAAGGTATATGCGTAATCACTAATATAATCCAGATATTTAACAGGATATTTCTTTCAATTATACATCAATCACACTTAAATATGCTACATATCTTTTTAATTATGTATCAATTGTATTTGTATGTTACTCTTTAAAGCAATTTAATAAAGTTTAATATCCAGCACTATTTGCGCTGGAATGCATCCAACTATTACATCACATGCGTGCAGTTCTTTTCGTTTAAGTTGACATAAGTCAAAAGATCGTAAAGATGGCTAAGTAGAGAACAATCAGGTCAAGCCTGAATGTTAATCCTAATCGGGAACTCAATCAAGTAGCGTGAGAGAAGACATGAAGCCAGATAAGTAAAAAGGAGTTAATGAACTGCCTAATAGAGAATCATGACAGAATCATTAGGATCATGTTATAAAGTTTAATATTTGATGCTAATGGGCTGATGCATCCAAATAACAATTATCACATGTGTGCAATGCTTTTCGATATTACAAAAGTAAAAGTATTATAAAATATCAATGCCCTGCTTTAATAAGTAAACTGGATTATAATAATTACACTTACTTTATTTGGAAATTCAGGATTGTCTAAAGCCAAGGTAGTTTTAAAATTGATTACTAATTGATTTGTAAATTAAAAGTCATACGATAAATACTACGTATCTGGCTTTAGAAAAACCTTCCTATTACTATGTTTGTTGGCATTTATTGCTTAATTTTGACAATTTCTGTGTTGCAAAAAAAATGATTTTTTCTTTTGTAACTGTAAGACGAGATGACAAAACAATTCTTCCTGCTGCACTATTTGAAATAGATGAAAGCTTTACTTTTGAACATTTACTTTATCAGGCGGATAGTGAATATGTTTCTGGAGAGAATATTAGAGTTGAGATTCAGGTTAAGGGTACAAATACATGGCACAATGTTGTGTCTGGTATAAACAGAAGTTTAAAGTTGTGCACACAAGAAGAGCAAAATGTATCACATATTAGGTTTACTATTCTAAATAAGTATTCTAAATCTTCTTCAGGTATTGTTCCTTCTACACCCAATGCTTTTAATATAATGATGAGTGCAGCATCTAAGAAAGTTTTACCTGACCCAAGACCAACAACAAATCGTAATGATAGTTTATATAATGATTTTAGCACTTTTACATAGCAATAATCTTGGTTGGGAAAATGGAACACAAAATATAGCTGGTAAATCATTCGTTAATAAACTTACCTCTCTTCTTTATTATTTGGATGATAAGCATCAGACTTTTAAATTACATAGTATTAAAATACCAACATTTTTTCTTCAACTACCATTATATCAACAAAATACATATTACAAAGATGGATTACATTATAAAACTACACTAAAACATAAAGAATTAGAATTTTATGCTGATAAATTAGAAGAATGTATTTTAGAACCATGGGCAAGTAAATTATGCTGGGACCAGATTATAACTGCTAGTTTAGAACTATGCTCTGTTGCTCATATATATGTTAATTATTTAGAAACAGTTAACTAACATATGCAAAGAATTCAACTTGCATCTGCTCCTGCACGAAGCCCTGAAGGTAATAGTAATTTAGAAATATGATCTTCTTGTACAGAAAATAATGTTAAAGAAATATATTTACCAATTGCTAAACATATTAGAAATACAAGTGATTATGAAATTATATCAATTGAAGAATATCTACCTAATACTAAAGAAAAATGGTTTTTTTATTTATCAAATCTTATTATTGATTATACAATTATGCTATATCAATATCATCATGGAAATTATTTAGGAACTTTAAATTTTATTTGGAAAATTCCTGAAGATTTTGAATTATGTGATGATACAAAAAATTCTCAAGCAATAATTTGAACACAATTGTTTTTTTACCCAATATATGAGAAGGCATATATTTGCAAAAGTAAATTTTTTATATTTATTAGTATTTAATAATATTAATGTAATAATATTAATGAATTTTATTTATTAAATAGTATTCTCTAATTACAAAACTTATATCCAGTATATTATGTTATTTATATTATAATTTAACTGATAACTCTAGTGCTATAAATAATTCATATTCTGCTGAAGTAGATTAAAGAGTAAGAATGATGCTTGAACTTATTGATCCTGAAATTTGTATTGATATGCTAAAAACAATAGATTTAAAGGCACTAAATTTGATGAATTTTAAAATGAAATAGATTCTTATTGTAATGAAAATCTTTTATCAGTTTATAAAAGGTGTCATAGTGATATACTCTATTTGCCAAGTTTTATTTCAGTTAGAGATTTAAGAGAATCTATTGTAGAACAATTAGAAAATAAGTATAATGAATATCCACTTTCTAATAATTGCTTAGTACTATCTGATTGTTGGATTTCATATCAGTTTTGTCCAAAAAATAATTGGTATAAGGCAAGCATACAATATACAGGTAGTGGAAATAACATAATTAT